TGCTCTATAAGAAAGAAAATTGGTACAGTTATATTTATAGTTGATGAGCGATGCAATGACTGAGCACAGGCCACTGTTACATTGGCGAAATAATCACTGCTGTATATAGGCCCATCCACTATATGCTATTTTGACCCTCAGGTCTCTTTTTCAAACTATGCTCTATGAAAGCAAATGCAGTAAATATGGTAAGCATAAACAAGAACTATTAAAGTAAAACTTAACCAATATTGTTATATCAGCAAATTTACATATGATTTTAATAGAATAAAAACTTTAGTCTACATATATATATTTTGTTTTGATAGGTGACTTTACTGAGTGCTATTGGTGGGCATGATGTGGGAGACACCATCCGGAGGATGATGAGAAAGTTGGGAACTTACCAGCTCTGGTCCCATTTTAACCTGAAGGGAAGGAAGAAGAAGCGGTCGTTTGAGGACATTCCACTCAACAGCGTGATACATAGTATGTATACGCATATATCATTTACTCTAAGCATCAACCCTGGCCCGTGGCATGTAATGTAGAGTCTTAGACTTGATATTGTATGTGTGAAAATACCTGCGCATTTCAAGAGAACACTTGAATACAATTAAACCTTTGGCCGGGCGGGCCACCCTAGATTGGCCCCGCCATCATAGATCCCCGTCCACTGGCCTGGCTTAAAACATTGGCAACATGATAAAAAATTTGGAGACATTTAAAGTCTTGACTATAAATTTTAACTACAGAATAAGCCTAAACTCTGCATATATAATTTCATTAAACATTACAAAATTGAAAAATAAAAATGCGGACAATTTAAACATTTTTAATACCTTGGGACTGGTTGTAATCAGGCCTGTTTTATATACTAACAGAAGCATGCAGGAAGATCCACCCAAAATGCAAGGGCCACACCATTGAACAGCAAGTGGGTGAGACTTTTGAAGCATGCCCCAAGCAAGAGGGGTGGATACCTCTTTGAGGTTAGTCTTTGGCTGGTTTCTGAATTGCGATGACATGATGCTTGACTGGTATACTATTATGTGATAAAATATATAAACTGCATGGTTCTATGGTTCTATATGAGTTGTGATATTATAATGTTAGTCTGTTCCCTCTAAGTTTAGCATTGCTATTCTTTATAGTGATATTACAAAATGCAGATGGGGTAATAAGGCTTAAAGATGTTATTGCACAAAAGAGGTATTTTATTATTGGTTTAATGTCAAACTTTACATACCTCGTGCACATATTTTATGTGTACATATACATCAATTATTTTGCCCATATAATGTAAAAAAAAGGATTTCCCAATTTACCATCGATTATAATTATATTTGCAGGCCCGTGTTTCTGTGGGTGCAACAACCAAGGCAAGACGGCCTACTAGGAACAATTACTCATCAGATTCGATGACTCATCAGATTCTGGCACACCAGAGACAGGCTAGCTAGCTCTTTTCCACTGCCCAAAAATTTCTTTTTTGAATTGGTCTAGCAGCCAGAACCAAATTCAATGCGTTGGCACGTATGTATTGGGAACGCCATCCATGCTTTCTTAATCCAGATTTTCCAATATCGAAAAATATTATCCTGAAAAATGAATAAAAAATGACAATTGCTGATTCTTCACAGGTAAGGGTATATGCACCAGATTTTTATCTGCATATGTATATATATTCATATATATATAATATATGATACTGTGGTGCTGTTCTATGCTGTTCTATACTTTTACTTGTAACCTAGCTAATTCCTGGCTTATGTACATGGTTCGCACAGTCCTTGAAAAGTGCTTGAATTTAGTAAATGTTGATTTTGTGCTTGAAAAGTCCTTGAATTTCATGAAAAGAATGTCCTGTGAATATTTGGTAGAAAGAATCATTGCCGTAATAAAAAGAAATTTCTGTACCATCAATAATGTGCAAACCTCAATAAAAATTTCATTAAATGAGCTTAAAAAGCTATAGACACGATAGACAGTTTAAGTGATGATCACAAATTACAGTAATTATAATAATAAGTCACTAAAATCAGTCAGTAAATCAAGGTATGTTGTAGAAGTGACAGTGTTTAGAAGGATTTATTAATGTCATCCAGGTAAGTTTTGTTCTGTGTATGAATTCCGATAAAATGTCCTTGAAAAGTCCTTGAAAAAAATTTCAGTCCTGTACGAACCATGAATTGTAACTACGGTATTGTTTCTGTTGAAATAAATATATGAACCATGCAAAATATTTTTGCTTCTTGCATGTTTTTATACCAGACCAAATTACTTGGGAGCTTTGTAAGGAACAGAAGCTAGGGGCATGTCGAAAATATGAGCCCATAGGGGTGTGTGATGAGAAGCGTGCATAACCGCGCTAGTGATGAAGGTGGTGCGCGTACCGTAATTTCTCACCGTAATGTCACTACGTAGTAAAGACGTTGCTGGCTATAGTCCAGAATTTTACGTAAGTAACTAACTGGCTAAAAAAACCTACGTAACATACACCCAAACCACTACGTTGTAACTACTAGTTACGTAACGTAACCGTGTTAGCTGGGTAGCTATAGAGTTCGTCCAGAAGCTATCTGCCGCGGGCGGCGGGCATCATACATGCATGCTATATAGAGCGTCCTCTTATAGATAAAGATAGTTCATGCGGTGAACATTTAACAAATAAATGTACTCTTAGATACCCCTCTCCATTTTATGTGAATAATTAATTTTGATTACTATTTTTATAGAATATGATTTCTGTCGGCAAATATTGCGCATGTGCAAAAACTGATCTTTGCCTACAAAGCACACTAAAAGAAAGTAACGTTGCCCGGTTGTGTTAAAAAGGTATATCTGTCACGGGCACAATACTTTCCGGGGCTTCTTCTTGTTTTATTTATAAAGAGGGGCCATGTGATGGACATGCATCATATGAATCTACTCTCAGATTTTCTTCTTCATTCTAAAAGAATAACTTTCACAAACTGCTATTACAATCGAGACATATAGCGAATGCGCGAACACAGGTCCTGGCCTGCACAGCACACTATAAATTGATGATTTGACCCAATGAAGTACTTTTTGAAAAAAAATGAAAATTGAATGGCTCCAGGTATGATTTACTAGCACTTTAAAATAGTATTTTTAGACATAAACTAATGGGTTTCGACTAACATTTCGTCACTTAACTAACTTCTGAACCCGATTACACGAGAAAAATCAGTTTGAATCCGTAAATCTCAATTTAGCTGTCATTGATTTGTTAAAAAGTTTAAATTAAGGATTTAAACTAATTTAGTGACTGTCACTTTTATCCGGTTTGAAACGATTAATTTTATGGAAGTAAATGAAAACTTTACAAAATTAAATTAACAATAAAAAATTAATTATTTCTTATACTTTATATTCGCCCAATACTGCGGGAATGATACATATATACGTGTACTGGAANAGACAAGACAAGAAATTATAGCAGAAACTATGACTGTAAATAGATTTGAACAGATATTGTCCTTTCTCCATGTAAATGATAATACTTTGCAAGCAGAACGAGACCAACCTGGTTATGATCGTTTATATAAAGTACGCCCCCTGATTGATATTGTTTCAGAAAATTTCAGCAAATGTGCAGAGCCCGAACAACACATGTCTGTTGATGAACAGATTGTACCCTTCAAAGGGCACCATGGACTAAAAGTCTATATGAAAAACAAACCCACCAAATGGGGCTACAAGCTCTGGGGGTTGGCTGGCCAATCTGGCTACTTTCATAAGTTTCAAATCCAGGGAGACAATCGTCTACCCGAAAGGCAGGACGAGCCAGGTATTGGGAAAAGCGGCCAGGTTGTTCTCGATCTGACAAATCATTTGCCTCGTGGCACTCATATCTATTTTGACAATTATTTCGCGTCCCCAGAACTTCTTCTCGAGTTGAAAACAAGAGGTTTTTATGCCACATGCACCATACGTCAAAACAGGCGTGGTGCTTGTCCTCTGAAAACTGAGAAAGAGTTGAAAAAGTTAGAAAGAGGTAGTTTTGACTACAGGTCAAGTGATGGTATAGTTGTTTGTGTCTGGTATGACAACAAGGTTGTCACAGTAGCCTCAAACAAATGTTCTGTGCTTCCAGCTCATAAGGTACGTAGGTACAATCGAAAACAGAAGGAGTATATAGATGTCAATTGCCCTAGTCTCATCAAGGCCTACAACAAAAGCATGGGTGGGGTTGACAAGTGCGATATGATGCTAGCCTTATATCGCATCCGCATGAAAAGCAAGAAATGGTACAAACGCTTCATTTTTCACTGTGTTGATTTATGCATCGTCAATGCCTGGGCGCTCCAGAAAGCGGCCACAGGTATCCGACCCCAACTGTATATGTAACCCGGGTGGAGTAGTAGAGTCTGAAAGGATGGAGTATGCTTAATAAAAGAATTCAGACGACGAAGTCCCGAACGAACGAGTTTTAATTACTCAACATGGCGGAATGCGATAATGCTAATCCCAGAATCCCCCACGCGCGCGAGACTATTGTCTTTCCCACGTCAGGGTAAGAGGCTATTCCAAAAATTCTAGTACCCCTGTTTTTAACCATATCTTTCATCTGTCACACACTCCAGGCCTTTAAAAATGTCGTCCCAGACATTCGGACACCCCGAAACCCCATCACATCTCAACAAACGAACTTGCACAAGTTAGAAGCTAAGGTGAAAACCTACGGTCTAGAAATTACTCCTTCCTTAGACCAAACAGTAGAACATGATGCTCAAGTGGCCATCTTAAACATGTATTCGTCCAATGGACAACTGCTATACCTCCAACACTGCTTCCACAAGGAATGTCGCAGAAAAGTAGTGATGCACTTCCAAAGTCCCCGATACCAAAACAACAGAAAGGCTCCTTCCAAATTAGATCCAACCAACACCTCAACCCTGGAAACTAAGGATGAGCTAGTCCCAAAAGTAAACAAATTATGAAGAACAACCTTTGTCAAAAGCACTTAAAATAGTAGTCGCCACAGTCAATCGCCTGTCTAGCATGGCAATTATAACATTGCAGAAAAATAACCCGTCTTCCTGTCAGCATCTCCCAGTCAATGAAACCGGTGCACCTTTGCAACAGTCGCAGTGACAATCTCCTAATAGCCTGTTGGTCCCAACGGTGGATGTCCCAGCTGGGGAATGTGACCATACCCCATCTGGTTGTTCCAATTAGGCCAATACATTGGAGGGTAGGGCATCATCATTGGACGGCCCCCACCTTGCATCGACCAGGCCTGTGGCGGATGTTGATAGGAGGGTTCCCCTAGCCCGTCGTGTCAACAGCCTGGGTGTCGTCGCTTGTCCTTTGCGCTCATCTCGAGGTCGCGTCTCCAAGTTATCCGAACCTCCGATTCGGTCGATCGGCCGGCAGAGTCCTCGGGTCCGCTGTCATCAGACTGGTGTGACACCTCAGGAAGTGAATGCTAGAGGCCTCTTCTGGCCTGTTCGAGTCTCGCGGCCTGTCTTGGACAGAGTTACGTCTCTGGCCGACTGGCCAATCTCGGAGCTGATCTCGTGTCCTCGGCCTGACTTGCTGTCGCTAAGTTGTTGGACGGACTGAAGCCAAATCTCTGTGGCCTCACTGGATGCAGTCACTGTCCAACACCGTCTGGCTGACCTCGTCTTTGTGCGAGACGATTACCATCTACGCTCCCTCTCTGGCCGATCGTTCTGTGTTTTAACCCTCCGTCTTTCGAACATTGGTCCACTGGTAACTCATCAAGCACTGAACATGCATGGTTTCCTATGAAGAAGCAGTCCGAATGCGCCCGAAGCCACTTTCGGCTGACTTCGTAAACTGGGGCATCTCCGAGATCTCCTCGTTATCTAGCACTGAATCTTACTCTTCGGCCAGTAGGGATCTTAGTTTTCCTGGTCCTCCCGCTCAGCAAAATTACGTTACCAGAACCCTGTCTCCAGTCTTTCATGTTCGAACTCCTAATCCGCTGTCAATATTGTCTTTGACTTTGCGCAGGCACTTGAAGCCTTTTCATATGTCGCATCACGATATGCTCTCGCCTTCCTTCAACCAGCTGGTTGCTGCGGTCCTAGCCCGCAGTCAAGCAATAACTAATCATCAGACAGGTAATCGGGCCGCGGCGCCGACAACGAATGTGTACAGTATACCGAAACGGTGAGAATCGACGTAGCCTCATGCCTAGTGCAATTGTATGCAGAACGCAGCGGGTTAACCTGAGCCTTCGCAGTGCTGCTTTCGTGTTTCCCATCTAAAGGTTTCGAGGCATGCCTAACAAGAGTGCATCATCCTCTCGCACTTTCCCGTTTCCCTTCAGGGTGGATAGGTGTGGTCCTGAGTGAGCACTCACACTGTCTGTTCTAAGGCCTGGCGAACTAATGCGTTTTCGAACTCTCTTAGCCTTGGTCGTGGTGAATCCTGC